AACCTCCAACTCCTGGGCTCAAGCGAGTCTCCTGCCTCTGCCTCCCAAGTTGCTGGGACCACAGGCGCCCGCCACAACGCCTGGCTATTTTTTTTCAGTTGCAGCCATCATTGTTGTTTGGCAGGCCCGGGCTGGATTTGAACCAGCCACCTTAGATGTATGTGGCTGGCGCCTTAGCCACTTGAGCCACAGGCGCCGAGCCTTGAAATTCTTTAAGAATTGTTTTTGAACCTTGGCTCTATGTGTGTTCTGTTGAGATAAAGTAGCATGCAATAAAATATACAGATCTTAAGTGTTCAGTTGGATGAATTTTAAATTCAGTTTGAATTGGATACACCTGTGTAGCCACCGCCCAAAGCAAGGCACAGCACCTCCACCCCACAAGCTGCCTACAGCCCTTTTTGCCCCACCCCACTCCCCCTCTCCTACCCAGAAATCTCCGTAGTCTCTATCCCCAGCAGTTAGTCCTGCCTGTATTTGGATTGCACATGTGCTCCTGTGGCTGGCTTCCCAGACTTGACAAAGTGCCCCTGAAACTCTCTGCATGTTGTGCCCATCAGTGTGTGCTCCTCCTTACTCCTGGGGGTAGCCCCACTGCACAGAGGTGCGCAGTTCACTGATATCTCTCCTGCCTGTGGACATGTGTGAATTAGGCTGCTACAAACATGCTGTATGAGTTTTTTCTGGTAGAAATATTTTTGTTCCTCTTGGGTAAATACCTCAGAGAAGGGTTGCTTGGTCATATGGTAAGTATGCAGTTGATAAGACAGTGCCCAGCAGAGTCCCAGAGAAAGACGCTACACTCCCACCAGCATATAGCTCGTCCACACCCTCAGCAGCACTGGACATGATCAGTGTTTTGATTTGGGGTATTTCTGCTACACAGAGCAGTGTCTTAGAGCAGTTTTAATTTACATTTCCCTGACGGCCGATAGCGCTGCACAGTTTGCAGGCTTGTTGGCCATATCTTCTTTTGTTGTGGCTGTTCTAAGTCCTTTGACCTGTTAAAATTGGAGTTTGGACTTTGTATTGCTGATATTTAGGAGCTTTTGATATAAGACTTTGTCAGATCTATGTGTGCAAATATTTGTTCCTAGTCTGTAACTTATCTGTTCATTTAATGTCTTTTTTTTTTTTTTAAGAGAAATTGGCTGGGCATGGTGGCTCACACCTATAATCCCAGCACTTGGGAGTTCGAGGCTGTTGGATTGCCTGAGTTCACGGGTTTGAGACCAGCCTGAGCCAGAGTGAAACCTCATATCAAAAAAATAGCCAGGTGTTGTGGCAGGTGCCTGTAGTCCCAGCTACTTGGAAGGCTGAGGCAGGAGAATCGCTT